AAGATCTGGGCACTGTATTCAAACATTCAGGACAAAAATCAGTCCTCGTTCCTGCCTCCACACCAGTCACCTCATGTGGTTCCGTGCCTGGTGCTTTGCACAAAGGCTCTGCTGAGGGACCAGGGAGGGCAGAGTCCAGACTGCACGCTGCTCACTACACCTGGGGCGGAGGATGAATCCTGCATCTGCCTGGAGGAGGGGGGCTCTTCCTTCTCATACAGGCATCAGTGGCTTACCCGAGGGGCACCTTTGTCTAACTGGCACAGAGCCCTGGTATTCCCATCCCATCCTGTCACGTGGACAGCCCCAGAAGCCCTGGGCTGATTTGCGATTGCTTCCTGCCCCAGCTCCTGCTGGGAATAAGGCCATGTGTAGAAGAGCGTGAGCCTGGCCCATCTTCCTGGCCCTGCCCCCATGCGACCCGTGTCTCCCTGTTCTCTGCCCCCATGAGACCCGTATCTTCCTGTTCTCTGTCCCCCATGTGATCTGTATCTCCCTGTTCCCTGCCCCCCATGAGACCCGTGTCTCCCTGTTCTCTGCCCCCATGCGACCCGTGTCTCCCTGTTCTCTGCCCCCATGAGACCCGTGTCTCCCTGTTCTCTGCCCCCATGCAATCTGTGTCTCCCTGTTCTCTGCCACTCATGTGATCTGTGTCTCCCCGTTCTCGGCCTGTCTGCAGAGCATCCTCCATCCCCTGGAGCGCCCTGCAGCGTGGGGCCCAGCTTACTCGGCCCGCCCTCTGGCTCCTCGCCTGGTTGATTCCTGGCTCATAGCTTAGCCCTGAACTTCCATTTGTGCCCAGACTCCTGCCTGGTTGCTGACGCCATCCCTGGATGCTGCTGGCCCTGGCTTTCAGTTCTGACCCTGGGCTTCAAAACGTAAGCGCTTAGCACTGACAACAGCCTCTGATCAGGACAAGAGGGGATTGTTTTCCACAGGGTGGAGTGTTTCAGTCCAGCCAATAAAACATCTTTGAGCAGCCCCACTGGGCATCCTACACGTGCCGCTCTTTACAGATGGCCTCTGGGACTCTTATGTGCCAGCACCCCTCGCACCCTGTTCTTCTGGTCCACATCCACAGAGATGACACAACTGTTATCTCATCTGTGCATCTCTAGATTACAGATGATCTTTCTCAGCATTGTTTTCAACAGTGTGATCAGACTGTCAATAACATCCGTCACAGCTGGACCTAACTCCCAAGATCCTCCCAACCTTATGTCTCCCCCAGGAGTCACCCCCTTATACCACGCATACACACACAGCCTGCTTTGGGGTTGGGACCCAGAGACTGTTTGGTTGCTGAAGCCATATGCAGGGTGAGTCAGAAGCCAGCACTGAAAGTCCATGTTGTTACTGGAAGGACTGGCTGTCCCATCCTGGAGCTGAGCTGCGTGGCCTGCTGGGATAGGAGCAGCGAGACAGATAGACCAGAAAGAAAGCCAGGCGTGGGGAGGAATAAAAGATGAGAGCAAATGATACTGTCAAAAGCCTGAAGGAAAAGATCACACTGAAAAATATACTTGGGAGCCATTATGCCTCCTGCTCCTTTGCTCTGACCCCAGCCTCATTTCTGCCTGGGAACTTGACAGAGTCCATCTCCCTCCCTCCTGCAATCCATTCTGGCTACCTACTCACTCCAACACACGTTTTGATCAAATTCCTATCGCTCCACTCCAGGTGCTTTCCTCAGTCACTTCGGCTGCTCAAGCCCACCGTGTACTGTTCCTTGCCCTCCACCTGGCCGTCTCCATGGGGGTCCCTTGCCCTCCACCTGGCCGTCTCCATGGGGGNCCTTGCCCTCCACCTGGCCGTCTCCATGGGGGTCCCTTGCCCTCCACCTGGCCGTCTCCATGGGGGGATCCTGGTTTTCAGGGTCCACCCCTCCACACCTCACCACAGCCCCCATCCCCTCCAACCTCTATCTCCAGTGAAGTGTGAGCACCTTCCAGGCTGGGATGCTTTCTTTACGCTCCTTTTCTACTCTACACAGCACCTAACATGATTCTGGTCTCATCTCACACAATTAAGTTAATGTCTGTTACTTGATGGACAGATTGATTATAAGCACACTTTCCATCACGTCTTATAAAGTAGTGGTTTTAAGAGTGTGTTGTGAGCATCCTTTGCATTAGAATCTCTTGGGGTATCTACTAAAATGCATATTCTTGAACCCTACCACACACCAACTAAATCAGAATTTTTTACAACTGGCACTTGGCATTGTAGCGGATGAAAGATGATCACACATTCTGACATTTCTCCCATCTAGAGATGGGATCTGCTGCTTTCCCCTTGAAATTGGCCCATGACTACTGTGGGTAATGAAGTAATACTATGCCTTGGTCTCTAGGAACCCAGGAGAGACCCTAAAACTACATGGAGAGAGGAGGCAGCCTGATAGTCAACCCTTCCAATTTTCTAGTCATGTCTTGGACCCCCCAGGTGAGACCAGCCACCAGTTGAAAACCAATGGGTGGCCCCAGTTACACAGAACAGATGAATCACCCAGCCAGAATTCCTGATCCACAAAATCATAAAGAGGTTGTTGCTTTAAACTTCCAAGTTTTAGGGTAGTTTTTTACATAGTCATAGATAGCAACTATGTGCAGATGTAGCAAATTTTGCAGGTTTCTCTTGTGTATCCTAGAATTTGAGTCCTCATAAAGAGAGCTGACATTTAGTGAGTAAAACTTTATATTAAAGAACAGAAAATATTCATTTCATCATTTGCCTGCATATCCCAGGGGAAGGAAGATTTGGTAAAATAAAATCTCATCATGTATGTTGCTGAACTCGTTTTGTTTCTTCGACAGTAGGCCAGTTCTGTTTCTGGCACAAACAAGAGAGAGCCTCCAGCTCTCCTGAACTTTTCTAGACAATCCAGTTAGTTGCCACAGACAGTGTTAATAAACAATGTCACCCCAATGGAATAAATTTCATCTTTGGATTTAAAATGTAGTGGGTCCTGACAACATTTGGTTTGGACATGTTTCCTTAGTCTATGCTTTCAGGCCAAAACTGAGAAGATTTTCTTTTTTCTTTTTCTTTTTTTTTTTCTTTTTTTCTTTTTGGTTGGTTTGCCTCATGGGAGTATATTTTAAGGCTGAAGCTTGTGGGGTTTTTTTTTCAGGTTTCATAATGAAACCTTTAGGCTTGTAAGTCACATGACCCACCGCTGCTTTTGCCATAGTTTCGGATGAAAACCACAGGACCCTACAAACCCCACTGGGATTAATGATTTTTGTTTTGGTTTCTCAACAAAGCAGTTTGGACAAATCTGAGAAATTTTTACAGACTCAGCAGAGATCGGTGTGAAACTCAGCATCTTCCTTGGATGCTGCAGCTCAGTTTCAGTGGGTTTGGACAAGTCCCGGGCTTAAAAATGGAACTCTAAAAGCATAAAACCACACAAGCCAAAAATATTTTCCAAAATGAGTTGAACTAAGCTGAAGCTGCTGGGATTTGTGCCCTCTCTGTGCAGACAAGTCTGTGTACCCCTTCCAACCCGGTGCCCAGCCTGCCTTCGAGCTCACTGTGTCTGCTGTGTCACATGCGGAGCCGAGCTGTCCCTTTAGAACAGAACTCTGGCCTCTTTAGATGCTCTTCAGAGGTGGCTGTGTTTTTCCAAAACTCAATAACGCAAAGCCTGGCAAGAAATCGATCTCACCATTTATTTTTATTTTGTTCATCTGAAAAACAAAGTGTCCGTATGATAGTATCACTTTAGGACAGCTAACAAATAAACATCATCCTTAAAGCCTGTGGCCCCCAAACCACAGGTCTGGTCCATGGCAGGGCTGCACCAGCAACATACAGATTCCTAGGCGGCCCTCCGAATCAGAGTTTCTGGGTGGGAGCCCAGGAATCTTTATTTTAATGAATTGCTCAGATGATTGTATAATCCAAGTTTAGGAAACACTTTGGTGTTTAAAAAAATATGACACTTCTGCTTCTTGCCAAGATGGAGTAACAGGGATTGGATTTATCCTCCTGCCTAAAACAATTGGAAATCTGGGTAAAGTGTGGAAAAGAATGGTTTTCAGACCGCAGACATCAGGCAGCACAGGATGGTGATCGCTGAGAAGGGAGCCATTGAGGATTCCCGATGCCTAAAATGAGAGCTGGACAATACTCAGGGTGTGACAGATACCTTTATAAAGAGAGGTTATTAGAAGGTGATTTTGCTTTACTCTACAAAGATTCTTACATTTACTGCATGAAAGAGTCATCTCACAGTGGGGGCTGGCCGAATAACCTGAAGTCCTTTCTTCCGCTGAGATACTCAGCAGCAGATGTGTGTACCTGTGTGATGCAGACCAAGGCCAATGAAAGAACGGGTTTCCAACATGCCCTTGTTTGTGTTTTAAAAATAGGATATTCACATATTACCATATGCAGAATATTTCTGTAGGAAACATAAGAAAGTAGTATGTTGGTTGTGTCTGAGGAAGAGGCTGGCTAAACTGGGATGGGATGGGAGGGAGATCAGTTTTGTTGTACACTTTGTACTGTTAAACTTTCTTAGAATGTTCATGTAGCTTGTTTTCCCTAAAAAGCTAGTTCACAAATAAAAAATCAAAATAAATGTCATCCTAAGGATTTCTTTAAATATTTAATCAAATTTTATTTGACTTTCACAAACTCACCTATCACATCATATAACTCTCGGAAAACATCGGCCATGTAAAGCAATTGTTAAAATATGTACCTATGTAATAACCATTCTATATGTCATTTACAATTTAGTTTGTCTTTTATTCATCTGGTATATAACATAATACTACACACACAAAAATGACCAACAAATTACGTCGTTGTGTTTCAACGTGTTTAAAAGACAGGTTGTCGTTGTTGCCTATTCATTTCCAAAATATGAGTTTAAAATTATGTAATTGTTTTTGGGATCTGGCACAGTCCCACACAATGCCCAGCATCAATTATATGGTTACATACACATTCCTGTGGTTGTTTCTAAAATTTACAAAATTATTCTATTGTAGATTCCCAAGTATCAGAAGAGTAAGGTGTTTCTAAGGCTCTTTATACATGGGTACAGATAAGATAAAGAGAAGTTTCCAAGTCAAAACAAATATTCTTCCCTCAGCCCTCTGGATGTTCATGTTCAGACTTCTGGGTGAGGGGAGCCCTTCTTAAGGTGAGTCCTCATTTCACTTGCTTTTGTACTTTTTGTTCTTTTCTTAACCATGAGGCATATACATATTTTTGTTGATAGGCGAAAGAGATGAGCTTATATGAATTATCTAAAACTTTGCTTATACAAGCAGTGAGGATTTTGGAAGTTTAAAGAATTAAGAGGCCCACAGAATAGATTTAGCCAAAGAACCAATGTCAAAGAACGTGATTCTGGGAATCTAAATAACTGAGAAATCCTTTTTATTCTTATAAGCTTCCAATAAATATCCCATTACGCTTTCTCTACTTATATCTTCCTGCCACTGGCACAGACAAAGCCAGTTTCTTCTCTCTTAAAGTCTTTCTCAAAAACAATGGGAAAGGGAGGAAAATATGGATGTTTGTGTTTGCTTGTATCAGCATAAACAACAGGAAGAAACATCAGAACCCAAAATGTGCTTACCTGTAAAGGGGGGCCTGGGTGAGAGGGATGTGAATAGATGGGGACAGACCTCTCAACATATGCATTTTTACATTGTTTTCACATTGGACCATATGAATGCATCACCTATTTTAAATTTAAAATGAAAGAATGTTTCTCAAAGTTTATCTTTTCATAAAAGCTTTATATAACATGCCTAAACCTGAGTTGAATAGATTGGATTTGCATAAACTGAGTAAAAACAACAGGAAGCTGAAACCCAACCCCACCTCCCTCCTCTACTTATCAATTTAGATGGGGAAAAAAAAGAGTCTCAAGAAATCATCTCATTGATTTCCTTCTGGCTGACATTTTCCGTGGCTGATATCAGATGAGTCTATAGGTTCTTAAAACATTTTGAAATATAAGAGATAAAATTCTACTTTGTGTAATTTTTCCTTTTGGAGAAATTTTAGACACCTCACTACAGAATCACCTCTGAACATATTAGGATAACAGAGGTGAAGAAAACAAAGAGGATCTTGGGAAGAAAAGGAAATTGTGTGTGTGAGTGTGAGTGTGTGTGTGTGTGTGTGTGTGTGTGTGTGTGTATGCATGTGTACAAGGGGCTGGGGGAGCCGGCAGAGGACTGGAGGTATTTCCCAGTGTAAACATTAGAGGTTTAATTTTTGCAAAGCAGCTTTTCTGGTGAAATATTGCTGACTGTATTTGGAAGTTGATAATATAATTCAGTCCCCCTCTGGGCATTGTTGGTATACTATGATTTTCTTGGTTGAAATGCCTCTCTCCCCACCCCAGAATAGTAGAAAGACTGAATAATTTCATATTGGACACTTACCCTTTTGGGGAATAATTTAAGCACTACCATATGTCTTCTTAGTTTGTCCTTCTACTGTCTCTTACGAACCACTGGGCTTTGAAAATGCAAAAACAAAACAAAACATCCACAAAGGAACATGCTGGAGAAGTGTGTGTGTGTGTGTGTGTGTGTGTGTGTGTGTATACATGTGTGTGCGTAAAATCTCACTCCGTGGTGATGGCCCAGTCTCTGGGCCATGGTAATCATCCAGGAAGGTGTTTGAAGATAGGCTCCACCGAAGGGGAGTGATAACAACCTTCAGAAACTGTTTAATCCCCAGAAACTAACATCAGTCTGACGGCAGCTGCGCGAGATGGGGAGGAACAACCGTTGAAATCAGACCTGAGGAACGGCATGTGAGATGCACTTGCTCTCAGCCACCGACGTCAGAACAGCTCAGAGCCAGGTAGCCCTCACTTTGCCGGAGATGAATTCTGGAGAATGTTCCTCTGTAACAGCTCGCTCCAAGGCACGCCTGGTGAGTTGGGGTCTTTACCCCGCATATTGTGTGGCGGCATCGTCCCCTGTTCACAGTGAGCTGTCAGATTCCCAGGAGCAGACGCGTATTTCCAAAGCATCCACATCAGTCTAGAAATAATAGCCCAGTTATTCGATTTTTCACAGCTTTCTGCCTGTTTGCTGCACTGAGGAGTTAAGTAGCTAACTTGATTCACATCAAGCAGCTGTGGAGGTGCAAGTTACCTCAGATTCAGAGCCATATAATTTACTTGAAAAGCTCAGTGATTCTTTAAGTACATTCACTTCAGAAGCATTCAGCAAACCAGATTATTCAGGAAGCGTCTTATCTCAGAAAGCTGATTAAATTATATAAATTATCAAGGCATTTCAAAGAATTGCAAAATATCAGAACATTCTTATCAGGTGGCTGTGGCACTTTCAAAGCTTGACCCCAACATTCGTTTACATCCTCCCATCAAAAGCAGGAGCCCCGTCCCTGCCCATGAATCAAGATGGGCTGGTGACTGCTTTGACCAATAAAGCCTGGTAGAAATGCTGCTGTGTGGCTTCTCTGGCTAGATCTGAAAAGGCCACCTCTGCCTTTTTCTCTTAGACGCTTACTCTGGCCAAAGCGGCCACCACCTATGGAGTCTGCCTCCCCTGAGAAAGTCCTGCTGGGAAGGCCTTCTGGTCACAGCCCAGCTGAGCTCCCAGCATCCTCTGCCAGCCATGTCAATGGGCCATCTTGGACACCCAGCCCAGTTGAGCCTTCAGATGGCTGCAGTCGCCTTCGATATCTGACTGCAACCTCATGAGAAGCCCCAAGTGACAGCAAAGCAGCCACGCCCTTTCTGAAGTCATACCCCACAAAATCATTTTTTTTAAGTTGTTTTTTAACAAATTGGTGTTTGGTTTACACCACTAAGTTACAGGGTAACTTGTTATACTGGGCCAATGGGACTCTGTGTCCTTTGACATACCTCCTCATCATCCCAGCTGCTTCCTTTCACTTCTGGGTGTTTACACTGTGGTTGCTTTCATCCATTTTTCTTTGGGTTTGTCTTTTTATATTCTACACCTACACACATACAGAGCCGCACAGACAATGCTACCCACAAACACACAAAATCGACCAAGTGACTTTGATCTGTTTTACCCCCTTGATCACTTAGTCCAACCCTCATTTTTCAGCTGAGAAAATTGGGGTCTGGGAGGATTGAGTTTCTTGCCCAAGGTCACATGGCTAAGTAGTGGCCCAGCTGGGAGTAAACCGGGTCTCTGATACCCAGGCTAGTCCTTTCCCCACTGATTCATTTCCCACCAACCTCAAAAAATAAAATGGGTAATTCATTTTCTCCAGAGTCCAGAGTCCAAAGTCCATAAGCTCTGAAAGCGCTAAACAGGCCCCTGGGCACAGCACCTCATTTCGTCTGCTGGAGGTGACCAGTGGGCCCCTGGAAAGTGTTGCGTACAGCTTGACTGCCTGATGGGAGCTGAGGGAGGGAGTGAGGCAAGGAAAAGGGAAGTGCTGAGAGGACCTGGCCTAAGCTCGCCTCCTTCCTTCTAGGCCTTTTCTGAAGGCTGCAGGCTAATTATGGTCAAAGTGCAGGCAGGGATTCCCGAATTTGCTGGAAAAAGGCCTCCCTCAAGCTTCTATGTTAGACCCTCCTTACAAAAACAAACGTACTTTAAATGGTATGTTGCATATTTCTGAATTGGGCTAAAAAAAATGAGTGATTGAGACAAAAGCCTGGGAAACTGTTGGATGGTGCTGGAGCTGGTTAAATGTGGGGAGTGTGTATCTGTGTGCTTTATCTGCCACTCAAAGGTCCGGGCAGGCTGTCATTAATACATTTTTGGCCACCCACTGCCCCAGAGCTGCCCCACAGCATTGTCATTTCATTTGTCTAGCAAGGGAATCAGAACCAATGAATAAGAAGGCCACCACCCCACACCGTAATGATATATTTCTCTTCCCTTCAGTGATCTTGCCACCCCTCCCCCCCACTACCACCATTCTCCTACACCAAAGGGTAAAGCATGATTAAAAGTCTTGGACATGAGGTGTGGTTTAGTTCAATATGTACTGTTGGTTCTGCAAATAAGGTGGTGGGAGGCTGACTATGCGTGTTATGTGCCATATGCCACTCTGTTGGCTGGCATGCATTGGGAAGTCTGAAAGGCGGGGGAGAGGAAATGCATATTCTTTCTACTTTTGAAGCACAGGCTTAAAAAAAAAAAACGAACTCTAGAGAAAAAATATCACATAATTACAGTTTTGTTAGTCCTTCATAGATTCCTTATATTGTATACAATTTGCCTCTCAAAAAAGCAGCAGCAGATTCAATCAACCACAGATTCATAAAGTCATGTTCCCACAAATATACCCACCTCACTTTGTGTACTTGATATATTCTGGGAAAGTTACATATAAATTGAATTTTTGCAAATTTGGTCATTTCAAATATTCTCAAAGTGCTTTCAATTTCAATCAGTGCCATTTTGTAAAGCAAATAATAATTTTATAATGCAAATCATCACTCCCTAACTTATTTGTTTTGTAAGTTTGGGCTATTGTATTTACATTTTTTTTTCTGAAAGCATGATACATCTATAGATAATAGGAGGCAGTGAGACTTTAAAGTAATAATACATAAAAATTTTAAATATAAATGAAAAAAGTTGTAGTTCTAGAAATTTAGGAATTTTGATTTTTATTTAGAACGTTTATGTAAAGTAAGAACTTGAGCCCACTCCAAAGTATGGCATTCTGGCAACATGTATCAAAATATTGAATTTATCCTACGGATGTAAGAAAACAATTGTGTGAAGAAGATGTATGCACCATAAAAAATGTTTGCAGCATTGTTTATAACAAAAAATTGGAAGGAACCTAAAACACCATCAATAGTGAAGTTATTGAAATAAGAACAGATTATTTTACTTTCATGTAATGATATATTATGCCGCTGTCAAAAAGGGTAAAAGAACCACCATGAGGCACCACTTTTTGCCTATCATGTAGGCAGCAATTCGAGAGTTTCATAAGCTCCTGTTGATGCGTGTGGGGTAATGGGGAGGTCAGAAGTGGTGTTTTTCTCTGGAAGTGTTGAGAGGTTTGGGTACCATAAAGTTGGGTGCCATCAGTTCACAAACACTCAGAAGACTGAGATACTATAATCAGTGTGGCATGAACTTTAATTATCTACTTAAAAAACACTATAAAGCCATTTTTATATATTTAAGAAATTCAAAAAGAAATTTAAAAAAATTTTTACTATTTAATGAGCAAGTATTAAAGTTTAATTTTCCTAAGATTTTTTTTTTTTAAAGATTATTATTGGGGAATTGGGGGAAGGGGAACAGACAAGTTGCTGTCCTTTTGTTCTACAGTCTAGCTGTGGAGGACGTTGCTTTACTGGCCCAAGTTGGCACCATCATTGCGCTCTTCCCGGGTGAGGCAGATCAGTCGCCGGCTTCTGGACGGCCACTCACGGCGGCTGCTGGC